ATATGTTCATTCATTAAAATTAATCAGTCTCACCATAATGTCCATTTAGTTCTGGATTCGTCTATATGAACATCTGAGAACTCCAGAAATACCACTTAATGGACCTGGTGAAACTGCTGAACGATCTCCACGTCTCAACTTTCAAACAAACATGGACAAAAAGTCCGTAAAGTGCTCAGAAAACAATTAAAAAAAAATAAATTGTGCAACAAACAGAAAAATTCCTCTTGATGAGGAAAATCATTTTCTAAGAATTAAATCTTTGACTACTTCCTCAACAGCTGCTTCAAGCCACCGGCTACCTCTCTTGAGCATTTTTCAAGTCTCTCTATGATTTTAAACCATAGTATAATAATTTAAAACTGATTGGAGAGTGAAACGCCTCTAAGTGCCGGAACGATCTTCTAACTATCAGGACAGTCCCCCAAGGTGTGCCTCTTGGTTGCAGCTGGGGTTAACAATGTGTGCACTTACAAAAGTGTGCACTGAAAGAGTGAAAGAGCTGTGAGCTCAAGCAAAATGAAAGGAGAGGCAGTAAAATCAGATGTGATTGTGAGGAAAATGTATTAGAACTTAGCTCTAAGAAGAAACAGAAGGCTTCTGCATTGTTGGATGGAGATTTCAAAGCAGAGTTATCTGAATAAATCTTCACAGTGTGCATGGAGGAATGAACCAGCTGTGGTTCGGTGTACCGTGGCCAGGATCCCAGGAAGGATATGGGTCAGTATTTACAGTGGGACCTTTTAGTGTAATTAATGATGACATTCGGCGTAACTAAAGCCTCGGTGTCATGACGCTGCATTCTTGTCATATGGGACAGTTGGACACTATGCCGCCACCGCCAAACTTCTCATTTGATCAGTTCTCTGTTTATAGAAATCTATTTTCTCAACCTGATGAAAATGAATCAGGGTCAGCCACAGAATGCTCTGCAGTACTTTCTGTCACATTCCTTTATGTAATGGCTCATTTTTGCCATCCTTCCCATATGCCACAAATACAGACAACCATGTCTCAATCTGGTTTCAGGAAGTGTTTAACTCTTCACTTTAATGAGACAGCCTGTCTGTCATATTAGCTTCAATCAAACGAGAAGATTGATATAGACCAGGCTGTAATTGCGAGCTTGCTTTCAGTCACGCTTGGTAAATACACCTAAGTGAGCAGAATGAAAGAACACTGAGTGTTTCTTATGAATGATCCACTAACTACACCTGAACTCTGAGCATCTGCAGATATCAAGGGTAGTGTGATCTTAAAGGACATTCAAAAACAGAATGATGATTACGAGCAAAGGAAAATGGATACACACATATATATCACGCAAAAAAAGAGCTGATTACTGATTATTGCTTTGCTTGTTTATGCTTGGTAGTTGCTTCACTGAGAGCAGAAACATGAGACCTTCTGGAGCCAATTCTGGTCTTCGAGAGACAGCGAGAACTAATAATCGAGGACCTTTCTCCTCATGGACAGATTGCAAACATCTACTCTCACAATATGAGTTTTCCACAACATGTCACACATTATAGAAGCTTTGTTGACAAATGAAAGTTTTTACACCTTACACACACACATACTAAAAAACTGAGGGTATTATAGACTGCTTCCACAATCTGCAGTTGGGGTAAATTTAGATAGGAGTGATGTTTTAAGTAAATACAAGGCCTCTGCGTCCCTGATAGGACTGATCGCTGGTGACACTAATATTATAATTATTTAAAAAAAAAATCTTAATATGAACGCAATGATTTATCATGGGTCATGCCTGTTCTCTTCTTGTACAGTCAGTCCAGACTGCGTTCATAATTAACTGAAACTAAATGTGTGCCCAGCTCAGAAACCCCAGCCAGGAGATGGGAATGACAGGCTCAGAAAAAAAACCCAACAAACACATGAGATGCAAGACAAAACAAGTCAATAAGTGAGTCCCAGAGGTACAGATAATCTTAAACTGGGAGTTTCCAGTCAAAAGCAAAGTTAATATAAACCTTTGCTTAAATCTTTCTTTCAAATATATGCAAAGACTTTAAAATGGAATTAATATATATAAGTTTTACACACACAACAGATTGTTCTATTATGACACTCGGTGTTGATTTTTCCTTTCATCTGCCCCCGTCCTACATCACCTAAACAATGAATTCAAACGGTGAAAGACCAAACACTTCCTGAAACCTGCAGCCTCAGTCGAGCCTGTTATGGAAGACGAGCATCGATCATCGATCACACTGAGCTGAAACGTGTCTCTGTGGTTAGGTGGAACCCGGCGGTGTCACTGTGAGAGGAAGTAAGCTCTTCAGATTACTGTCTCCATCCGCTTTTTAAGAAGTAACAAATAGAGCCTCTTTCAGGCTGATGACGACCATGCAGTTTGGAAACTGTACAGATTACTGAATGGACTTCATCACAAGGAACTATGTAAACTTTCAAGTCAAGTAAAAAAAAAAAAAAACGAAACAAAAAAACAAGACAGTACACCAAAGAAAAGATTTCAAGTGAGCAACAGCAGCATTATGATAGTGTTCCTGTTTTCACATGCTCTACGGTCTGCTCTGCAGGCAGAGACGTGCAGCAACAAGAGTTGTGCCACTGACACAAACTCCTAGCTGGTAATGAACTAGACACTCCTTGGCATTAAAAAAGTTTCTAGGAGTCAACCAATGTCTGCGTGTCGCTGACAGAACTCTTCCTCTGAACGTCTCAGGGCTACCATTGTCACAAACAGACCGTAGAAAAACAGTAGCTTATTACAATATAAATACTTGAATAATAAAAAGACAAGGGGTGCTTGATTCACTTTACCTTGATGTTTCCCCTCCTGAGACTGTTGAGGCGTCTGAAGTGGTAAATCAAGCACCCCTCAGATAGCTCAGAGATCTGAAAAGGACTTTCAAACATTTATTGTATGTACACGGTCAAAGTGTTGGGACAGCAAGCTAAAGTTAGTCTTTTTCTTTTTGCTGGTGTCGTTATTGTGGCGCACTCCAGTTTATCATACTGCAGATGCCAAAAACACAACTTGAATGAACAGCAAGGCCAATCCCCTCAAGATCACGTCTGAATGACAAATGCATATTTATACAACAGATGGACCTACAGTATTAAAGACTAAAGGCAAGTATCAAGGCATTATCACTTTGTCCTGTCCGAACTCTGAAAGCACTTCTAGTCAGACAACAAATTGTAAGACACATTAATGAGCTGTGAAGACAAACTTTGTTTAACGCACCAATTGTACCTGCAACACCGTGAACATTTACATGAGCTCAAATGATAATTTTATATAGACCAAGTGTTTATCTAAACTTTCTGAATGTTTGAAATCGGTAAGGGTTCAGAACATTTAAGGATTATTACAGTTAAGTTATTTCATCATATTTGTTGGAAAAAAACACCCATTGAGTTAGACTGCTGAATAATAACAAAGCAGCTCCCCAAATTGTAAAAATAGCAGTCCCCCAAATGGCCACTTGGGGCTGGCTCCAAAATCAAGTCAATGCCCACTGAATCCAACATTAAAATGCTTTTTTAATTTTAAAGATTTGATTTTGGTAGGGTGGATCATCAAACATCGATAGTATTGATACCAACCCCGCTATTGATACTAGCGTGATAGAATGGATACTTTTGTTTCCACTATGTAGCCCACTGAATTGTGATAAACAAATTATGTTTTTGGAAATGAAAAAATAAACCTCCAACATGCACCATGAAAAATGTCTGAAAACTTTTGTGTTGACCGTCACATCTGTTTTATTTTGATGTGACCAAAAGGTGAAAGGTGTGTTTTAATTAGAGATGGCACGATACCACTTTTTAATGTCCGATAACGATTCCGATATCATAAATTTGGATATCTGCCGATACCGACATGAATCCGATATAGTGTATTTTGTAATCAATAAAACTTTTTTTTTTATAAATATCTTGCTGCATTTTGTAGAAGTTCATACTCAAGTTTTAAAAAAACAAGAGACTGAAGTTATTCAGTTATACCTGTATGCAAAAAATACACTCCACCCAAAACATTTTATAGTTCAGCAACACTGATCAATCTAATAAATTTAAACCTACACCATCCTCCCTATTCTGGTATTTTAAAGAGTACTTAGTGGAAATATTAAGCAACCTAACTAATAGGGTTGCCAACTCCCAGCAAAAATATTAGGGAACCACCCCTCGCCCTCCACCTCATGATGCTTAATCGACATAATCAACTTTAATGCACGTGTAAAGCAAATGCACAGAAATCAATTATTTTTCTACAATAATTAAATAGATTCAACATCTTTCTTCAACAGAATTGCAGACTGCACAGATGGTACCTTCCCAAAGGAAAAAGTACTATAGCTTACTAGGATGTATATTAGACTTAATAGTTACTATATACAATAATGGATTTCTATACATTTAATCAGATGACCACTTTGGTTGTAAGATTCAGATAATTATTTATTCAAAGTTTTTAAACATAACTAAGTGATTTATGTTTAAAATCCTGCTTAAACGTTTTAAAAAAAAAATAACTTACTGAACTGTAAAAATTTTAAAAAAGGAATATATGACATAACAAAGAAAAGTATTTCCTTGTGCCCCCCTTTTCCCTGTTAATGTCCAACCTGGCCCCTGACAAAACTTTGCTAGACCCGCCCCTGCACAGTTACCAGCTGTCAGCTACATAGAAAAGGATCCTGGTGTTATTTGTCTCTCAGAAACAGTTCATAACTTCAACTCATTCATGTCACCTAAAAGGTAAACCTGTTTCTCCATCACCTGTTCAGCTCTGATGATTCAGTAAGGACATCTTCTGGTTTCATCTTCATGTTTCCCTCTCACCACATAACCAAACCAATATCATGACCAGCAGCTTTACAGCTGTGGCTCCAGCAAACATCAGCTGATACTAGAAATTAATATTAAATACATTCTAACAACAGCTGATCACGCTTAAACGTGCTGCTGTTGTTTACCCGCTGGTCTCCTCTTTCTGGCGCAAAGTGGGCGATAAACAAATAAGAAAGACGGGACTTGCGACAGAAAAGCCGATCAGCTGATCATGATCAGTTTCATGTTTGAAGTAATAACAGGAGAGGGAAGGGGAGCGAATGAGAGAAGTAGATGCAACTGTGGAGCAAAGACAGAATAACTCCAGCTTTGTGTCTATTTTTTTAATTCTAGCTGAAGTACGGGACAAATCGCTGCCATTTCACCTCAATATGGAACTCCAATGGCCAGTCCAGCTGTGGCTCACTATATCAGTTGTTAAGCTTAACGTGGAAATACTCTGCAAACATTCAGGGATGAACTTACACACTTTACTTCTCTGGGATAGTTTTCTCTGAGATCAAATGCTGCAGTTAGGAAGCATGTACCGAGGCTCCAAATGCGCCAACAGACCGCCGACATGTCTCGCAGACAACAGCCGCTCTGTCACGTGACACATACTACTCCCATGCGACAAGCTGGGTTACGCCAAGTAGCGCGTTTTGTGAGGTGATTTTGTGATACTTCGTATCAAATTACATTTTTTATTTCCCTCCGATATCCGATCCAGTAATTTAGGTCAGTATCGGACCGATACGTAATATCGGATCGGTCCATCTCTAGTTTTAATATATGGTTGAAAGTAAAAGTCACAGTGATTTAGTGGTCATTAAAATGTGCTCTGGATTTGCATTAAGGAGTTAATGATTTAATGATTCATCTGTAGGGTCATGACAAACTACTGCATTCTGTACACTAGTGTTAGTTAGCTGTGTCGCTTTGTAGCAATTAAAACCAAAAATCTGAAGTGTTTCCAAATAATGATAACGATGATCCGCTTAAAGCATGCCGGACATTTGAATTTTATATTGACATCTGGTCTGTGTAGTTCATGTTTTGTTGTTACTCGTCCAGGTTACATCCAGGAACAATCCAGGAAGCTGTGATTGGCACATGCAGGCAGTGATTCAGTGAGCACTTGATTTGCAGGTGATACATTTTAGCTGTTAGGAGCCAAAATTGTGATCAAGATTAAAATGTAATTAACTGCAGCCCTAAGAACGGTGTTCAAAAAAGCACCGTGTAGAGTTACTCTCATTATTAATCAGAGTCTTCATATTGATTTGTAGATTTTAAATACAACAGGATACATTTTCACATCGCTTGGCAACCGGTAAATCTTAAAAGAATGAGATGGAATCATTAAAAGCACCAGCTTCGCCATCAATAAACATGCTACTCCCTTTGGGAAATCTCTGCAGAGCATGCCACGCATTTAAACTTCAGTGTAATATAAATTATTAAATTTAAATTCAGAGGACATTAATTCTTTCTAACTTGTAATTTTCTTCACATTGGGTAGCATGAGAGCTCATACAAATGGCCACTTTTGAAGAATAGCAGATGGCATAAATGTAAAAGACAAATCGTTGTATACTAATGTTTCATGTCACCTCTTTCTGCCATGCACACTTTCATGATGAAGCACTGATAAGCCACACTGCTCATCGTGCTCACCACGTATGGAAGCCCTAAGGTTAAATTCACTCAGCAATGCACACGACAGATGGGAGTGCTGCAATGAGGAGAGGACGTCTCATATTCATGTCGCCCAAATGACTGTGAAAACCTGCAGTTTGATCGCTGTCCAACTTTAGCTCTCTGTCCCATTACTTCCTTTTTTTGACACAGTTGGGATTTAGCGAGTCAGAAAGTGAAGTATTGGGCGTACAGCTCCTCTTCTTTTGTGACGTATTCTTTGCTTTTTCCTGGATTCATCCGCGCAGGGTCCGATGGTGTCGCAGAGTTGGCTTCAGGAAGGCTGAGGGAGGGAAGAAAAACATCTGTTAGAATAATGAGGAGGCAGAAGCTCGAGGACAGAGAAATGCTCTGTCAGGAATTCACAGGCTTACAGATGTACGCAATCAGATGGTCACAGATTTTTAGCTGACAAGCTCGGGAGCTTCACAGAACAGAAAATAATAGTGATTGCCTTGTTTGTTGTGATCGTTGGCAGCAGCCACTGTCAGAGCATAATGGGGGAGATCCAGTGAGTGCTCCTACTCGATGTCATACAAGTGAAGAAGTGGTGGTGTAATGTCCAAAATCCAGCATGGACATAGACTTAGACTGCCCACATTTAAGGACACATGCACAAAGGAGAGCTTGGGACTAAAACACCAAACCTAAAATTATAAATAACGCAAACTTCAAATCACCAAATCCTTTTTCTACATCCTGAATTGGACATGCCACCAGTGTACCATGATGAGGTGGGATGCTCATTCACAAAATAAGTCTAAAAGAGAAGCAATAGGACCTTTTTGCTATCAGGTAGCAATGCTGACCCCCTTCCCTCTGGAAACTGGGGCAATCATGGCTCAAGAGTTGGGAGTTCGTCTTGTAATCGGAAGGTTGCCGGTTCGAGCCCTGGCTTGGACAGTCTCGGTCGTTGTGTCCTTGGGCAAGACACTTCACCCGTTGCCTACTGGTGGTGGTCAGAGGGCCCGGTGGCGCCAGTGTCCGGCAGCCTCGCCTCTGTCAGTGCGCCCCAGGGTGGCTGTGGCTACAATGTAGCTTGCCATCACCAGTGTGTGAATGTGTGTGTGAATGGGTGGATGACTGGATATGTAAAGCGCTTTGGGGTCCTTAGGGACTAGTAAGGCGCTATATAAATACAGGCCATTTACCATTTAACTAACATAACTGCAATATTGGATTTTTAAGATCAATATCAATACTCGCGATTTTAAAAATCTGATATTCTGACATATCAGCCGATATTTTCTTTCAGGCATACAATATGCGAACAGATTTCCTTAATGTTTGAGTGGTTATTTATTTACTTGTTTATTCTCTCCCAAGTGTGCTCTGATTACCTGCAGATTGCCCTCTAGTGGACAAACTTTTTAATGTCAACACTCTTACTATGGTAAAGACTTTTTCTCCTGTCTCTTTATTTTTGAACATTTATAAGCCATTACAAATGCAAATACTGACAAATAGTTAATATCGGTTTATTTATTGTCTTGCCTGTAAGTTTTTTCATTGCTTATTCTGCAGATTTTGTGGAAGATACTTTGCAACCCACCTCCACCCCTCTGATACAGTCACCATGCTTTCCTTGAATGTGTTAGCAGAAGAATGGAGTCCCAGAGCAGAGTGGTTACTGCCAAATGTAAATCACTGTAGATGTAAATGTACGGACACATATGTATATTACTCAGGTGCTTCAGTTTCCATGCTATTCCTGAGCCTGCAATCAGTGCACAGGTCAGTGGAAGTTTGGACATGTTGCATAAAGCTTGGGACACTTTAAATGAACAAAAACAGTTTTTGTTATAGTTGGCTGCTCCTTTTAAGGATCCATGGCATAACGGGTGGTGGCAATGATTGGTAACTGTTTAGATATAGCAAGATTGCACAATACGAGCACAAATGAAGCAGTAAAGTAAAAAAACAACACAAAAACATGACAGACTTCAGCTTTAAACTAAACTGCAGCCCGATTACGAGATGGGAAAAAGTTGGAGAACTTTCAAACAAAGTCTGCGGTTCAGCTGCAGTTTATACCCTTGAGCCTCAGACCTCCCAATGATTTCTAATCAACGGCCGCAGCAAACAGAACTCCTTCATTTGTTTGTCCACTGCCTTCTGTGGAGAGAACAAAGCGCAAAACTATTTCTTATTTCTTTCTCTTTCAAGTTTTACATTTGCAAGTTGCTGCAAAGCTTTCAAAGCAATCATTTGTTTGCCTCTTTGCTTCACTCCCAGTTTAAAGTCCCACTGAGACTGATTTGTAAGTGCACTGTCTCCGGGTTGGTTCTCATCTTTTTGTAAAATATTTTTTACGAGGATTTACAGTGCATTGTCTTTGATTGCGCCACATTGAGAAAATGAAAAATGTGATGTTAATGTGCGTAATGTATCAAAAAGAGATTACATGTTCATTATTTTTGGGTGTTGACCCCGATGTAATGGAGCGAGGCTGCAGTGTTCCGTGAAATGAAAAGATCAATGCTGCACTCGTATTAGCTCGGGCCTAAATTAAAATGATAAAAAGTAGAGAACAGAAAGAAAAAGAAGTTGTCTCTCATATTTCATCTCTGGACATTGTCAGAACAAAAGGAAAAAATAGGAGTAACAGCTGGTCCATAAGTGCTGATCAAATATAAACCTCACCTCGGTTGAGGGTGAGGGGGTGAGGACAGAAAGGAGGGAAACTAAGAAGTGAGGTGAAAGATTGGGATAGTGGAAGCAGCAGCAGACATCACATAATTCACTGCTTGAATATGTGAAGTGAAGGTGAACGGTGGGCAGCAGTAGCAGAAATGCACTTTAGTTCTCACCTCCCGAAGCTCTGCAGGCCCTGATGCTGCACCACAGATTCCTGAGGATGAGGAGCATGAGGAAGAGCAAGGCTTGGCATGGGATGATGTGGAGGATGAGGAGAAGAAGGAGGAGGAGGAGGAGGATGCTGAGGAAGAGGAGCAGGAGGATAAGGGCTGAATAGGGGAAGGGGTTTCCTAAGTCGGGGGAGGGATCTCTGGAGGGGGGAGTTAGGAGGCGCAAAAGGGCCTCCTGATCCTACCTCCTCCACCTCCCGTCCCTCCTCTTCCTGTCCTTCATGAGTCATGGTGGGAGGGCTGACGAATCGGAGAGCTGAATGGCTAGGAAAGCTGGTGAAGCGGTGATCTGATTGGCTGCCTGTTTTTGACTACAGACACACATAGAGAGGCGAGACATGAATGCCGGCTATCTTTAGCTAACTCAGATCAAACTACTAACTGGTTTTAACAACGTGCCTGTCATGCTGTGTAGTTTCCATGATAACCAAAGTGGTTAAAGCTATTAGCATCATCTCAGATAATGACCTTTAACCTAAACTTGCATCCCTGCCTAAGCAAATCCAGTGAAGAGCAGGAGTAAAGTGCTTATACGCATCTTTCAAATTCCAGTCTACTAAGTGTGATCAAAAGTTCTGTGATTCCACTCATAAAAAGCGGAAATCTTACCTGATTTAAAATGAACTGTGATCCTCTTCAAGGAATCTCCTCGTGCAGGTCTGGACTAACTCCAGTACCATTCCTGGTATTTTAAGATTACGTCCTATTCGATTCAGGTATTAATGTTGGATCTCTTCCACTATATCAGTTTCATTTTACGACAGAGGGAGTCCAAACTAACTAGTGTCATACAAAGTTTGCATTGGTATGGCCAATAAAACTGTTTTCAGTGCACTTTGAGTGGGTATATTAAGGTACACCATGTTTTTCTCCCTCAGATGTGTCAACACTGGGAAAAAAAGAGAAAAGCACGCTCCTGGTGTTGGTTGTGACCTGATGTACCACATCTTCTTATAGCTGGAGACCCAACTCATCACCAGTGATGATGTTCATCCAAAAAGGTTGGTGAGTTTGACACAGAAGTTGAGATTTTTGTGTGCAAAAAAATTGCAGAGACCACAAAGTGGTCAGAACACGGCACCCAGTGATCTAAAAGTCCAAGTTAGAAGTAGACCAGAGGTGCACAGTGGGAGAGCAGGAATATTTCATCTGGGATGTGTGGCTTTTATTTTTTTGTTTGTAAAGCTTATAGAACTTTTTGATCACACCTTGTATTATCTTACCTGGAAGGACCGCCTTCCACATGGTAGGGGAATACAATACAGTTTGTGGCAGCTTTTGCTAACACAACCGTCAATCTTTTTTAGATTTTTAGTTATCGTCTCTTCAGAGATTATGCCTTAAAATGTTTCAACATACACTGATCAGGCATAACATTATGACCACCAGCCTAATATTGCATTGGTCTACCCTTGAATTAAATCCAGTAAGTGGTGCGGAGGGGCATCCACGGATTGGACTAGTTTGTCCAGCATTGGTCCAGAATTTGGAGGCCAAGTCAACACCTCAAACTTCTTGTTGTGCTCCTCAAACCATTTCTTCTTTGTGGCAGGGCAGATTATTCTGTGCCACAGCCTTCAAGGAATACTGTTTCCATGAAAGGATGTACACGGTGTGCAACAGTGGTTAGGTAGGTGGTGCGTGTCAAATTAACATCCACATGGATGGCAGGACACAACGTTTATCACAATGTTTCCCAGAAGACAGTGTGATTGCCCAAAGCATCATCATCACCATGATCACCATGTCTGGTCAACAAACTGTGATGCTCTGACGCCTTTCTGTCAGAATCAGCATCAACTACAGTGGGGCAAAAAAGTATTTAGTCAGCCACCGATTGTGCAAGTTCCCCCACCTAAAATGATGACAGAGGTCAGTAATTTGGTCAATAACAAAAATACAACTCAATACTTTGTAACATAACCTTTGTTGGCAATAACAGAGGTCAAACGTTTACTATAGGTCTTTACCAGGTTTGCACACACAGTAGCTGGTATTTTGGCCCATTCCTCCATGCAGATCTTCTCGAGAGCAGTGATGTTTTGGGGCTGTCGCCGAGCAACACGGACTTTCAACTCCCGCCACAGATTTTCTATGGGGTTGAGGTCTGGAGACTGGCTAGGCCACTCCAGGACTTTCAAATGCTTCTTACGGAGCCACTCCTTTGTTGCCCGGGCGGTGTGTCTTGGATCATTGTCATGTTGGAAGACCCAACCTCGTTTCATCTTCAAAGTTCCCACTGATGGAAGGAGGTTTTGGCTCAAAATCTCATGATACATGGCCCCATTCATTCTGTCCTTAACACGGATCAGTCGTCCTGTCCCCTTGGCAGAAAAACAGCCCCATAGCATGATGTTTCCACCCCCATGCTTCACAGTAGGTATGGTGTTCTTGGGATGCAACTCAGTATTCTTCTTCCTCCAAACACGACGAGTTGAGTTTATACCAAAAAGTTCTACTTTGGTTTCATCTGACCACATGACATTCTCCCAATCCTCTGCTGTATCATCCATGTGCTCTCTGGCAAACTTCAGACGGGCCTGGACATGCACTGGCTTCAGCAGCGGAACACGTCTGGCACTGCGGGATTTGATTCCCTGCCGTTGTAGTGTGTTACTGATGGTGACCTTTGTTACTTTGGTCCCAGCTCTCTGCAGGTCATTCACCAGGTCCCCCCGTGTGGTTCTGGGATCTTTGCTCACCGTTCTCATGATCATTTTGACCCCACGGGATGAGATCTTGCATGGAGCCCCAGATCGAGGGAGATTATCAGTGGTCTTGTATGTCTTCCATTTTCAGATGATTGCTCCCACAGTTGATTTTTTCACACCAAGCTGCTTGCCTATTGTAGATTCACTCTTCCCAGTCTGGTGCAGGTCTACAATACTTTTCCTGGTGTCCTTCGAAAGCTCTTTGGTCTTGGCCATGGCGGAGTTTGGAGTCTGACTGTTTGAGGCTGTGGACAGGTGTCTTTTATACAGATGATGAGTTCAAACAGGTGCCATTCATACAGGTAACGAGTGGGGGACAGAAAAGCTTCTTACAGAAGACGTTACAGGTCTGTGAGAGCCAGAGATTTTCCTTGTTTGAGGTGACCAAATACTTATTTTCCACCCTGATTTACGAATAAATTCTTTACAAATCCTACCATGTGAATTCATGGATTTTTTTTTCACATTCTGTGTCTCACAGTTGAAGTGTACCTCTGGTGCAAATTACTGACCTCTGTCATCATTTTAAGTGGGGGAACTTGCACAATCGGTGGCTGACTAAATACTTTTTTGCCCCACTGTAGTTTGAGGTGCAGTAGATCATCTTTTGGACCACACAGGTCAGACAGCCTTCTGTACCCAATCATCAGTGAGCCTTGGCCACCCATGACCCTGTTGCTAGTTCACCACTGTTCCTTCCTCGGACCATTTTTGATAGATACAGACCACTGCAGGCTGGGAACACCCCACAAAAGCTGCAATTTTGGAGATGCTCTAACCTGTTCGTCAAGCTATCACAGTTTGTCCCTCGTTAAACTCGCTCAAATCCTCACGCTTGACCATTTTTCTCCTTCATCAGCTCGGGGGACAAATATTCACTTGCTCCCTGATATTTCCCACTAACAGGTGCCATGATGAAGAGATAATCAGTGTTATTTACTTCAGCTGTCAGCGGCCATAATGTTATGCCTGGTCGGTGTACGGTGAAAAGTACATTTCCTCGACTGTCACTGGACGGCTGTCACAAGGGTTTATCATATGGCCAAATGCACAATGCACTAGATTACATATTATAACAAGCAGCAGCAAAACCTCATTAATATATTTTCTACACACTGGCATTGCAATATTTTTTTAGGGGATCAACCAAATATGTTTAGCGCAAGTCAGCAAAGAATGCATGAAAAAAAGAGCATAAATTAAAATATAGGCACAGAGTAGCCTTGAATAATCTCTCAGTGTTCCCTGAGGGGACTTGCTGGAGAGAGAGAGCTGCTATCTTCCTCACTTTCTTGATATCCCCACTAGTTGGCAAACTGAGAGATTTTCCAGTCCTACACATTGGAAGCTTAGACGTGTGAGCGAAGGACTGAAGATGCATATGTTATTCAATATAAACAACCCACAGCGAGCAACACAGGCACGATTAGGAGGAGGATGGAAATGAGGAGACGATGAGCTGATGTTATGATACTGAAATCAAGTGTTATTGTTCTTGAATGACTCAAACTGAAGCTGTGACAGCTGTGTTCACACATGAAGGATGATGAGCAGCTTTGTACAAAGATAACAGTTATCATGAGTCGTGTGCAATGGGCACCAGGTTTCAGGAAGAACGCTCAATGGCGCTCAGACAACAGACGAAAAAATGGGAGCATAAAGAGGAAGACAAGAAGATTACACAAGCACACGGGCCGCAAACATTCTTCTTTTCTTACAGCTGGTAGCAGAACAATGCGTGAAGATAATCAGGTACAATAGCAACACAGAAGGTTTTAGTGTCCTTGTGCTTTTCTCTTGCTGCAAATCTATTTCTACATAATAAAGAAACATAGTTTATATGGATAAATTATGTTTGCTACCCTCATTAGGCGGGATAATGATCAATAACTTCATCTGGCGGCTGTAAACAAAGCTGGGTAACTATGCCAAGACGCATGCAGTGACTGCCCTGGTGTTTCTCCAATCCTCAGCCTGTTGGATGAGTTGATTCATTGCAGAGTGCAGCTCACCTTTACAGGTTTCACTGGTTTGAATTTATGACTCAAGGGGATTACTTCCATTTATCTTCAAGGATGATCTCAGTACATTTGCACTATATATCATATGTTGGGTGTTTGAGTATGTAATAAATGATAAGAAATATGTGTTTGGTACGTGGATGTGGGTCTTTACATTCTCTGGAGTTCATACAGTGTTAAAGATAGATCCTTACAGTAAAACACTCAGTCATACATTTAAGCCGTTTTCACACATGCACGGCAGGCCTGAACTTTTCAATATCAGCAGTGGGAACGGCATTAAACAGTGTTTTCTTTTTAACCCGTGTGGTCCTTGTTTGTGGCAATTAACTAAATGCAGGCAATTATCTAGAGAGTTAAAAGCAAGCGAGCAGGCATCGTATGTCCTGCTGTGCGCTACATGTCAGAAGGGACCACCAGAGTTCATGTGTGAAAACGACTTAATACTTACCGGGTAAATAGGTGAAGCAGATGACTTCAGCTGTACAGAAGTTTGGTATGCTGTAAGACTGAAGCATCCACACCATTCACAGTGAAAAAAAGCAGTGTGGAATGAGCCCACTCACCTTAATAAGAGGGTTGATGACACCGACATTGGCACTGGAGTTAAAGACCTTGTTGAATCCCGTCTCTCGGTTGACCAACTCCAGCTGGTAGAACTTCTTGTCATCCTATATAAAAAAATGACAACATGTTGCAGTCAAACTCCACCCCAATCAAAACACACTCCACTATTCTTCTGTCTGTTTGCCAACACACATTTTTAATAGTCACAGTTTCATAAAGTTTGCATTCCTTCAGTATTTTCAACTAAAACTACACCAAATCAATAATTTCTTGACTCACTGTCCTGCATTCGAAGGATAAGCAAGCGCACATACACGATCCTGTTTACACACATGGATTCATAATTTAAAGAATAACAAAGTGAATTGTGGATCAGCATCTTGAAAAAAGTCTACTGAGATCCCGACTGACACACAGCAGAACCACAAAGGGCGGTTCCACATTAAGACTTCATGAAGTTATCAGCAGCATGCTGCAAAGACACAGGTCCTCCACAGTGCCTCGAAGGGCCACGCACAAGGAGTGAGAGTGAAGAAGTAGAGACATCGCTCAAACCGAGTTCTGCTTATCAACATTTAACTGCATCGCAGGATCTTTATCAAATCCCAAAGACGCAGCTTGCTCGCTAACTTTTCTTTCCTAAGTAAACAACATCTGCTGGTCGAGACCCTTACATGCAGTCAGATGAAGGAACTTTCAAAGAAATACATTTTTAACCCTGAGAACTGTTGAATGTTTGACCTCGCTTCCAGCGATTAATCCTTGATTTAGACTTTCTCACGAACTGCATGTCTATTTTTCAGTTTACTCCTCAGAGACTATCCCATGCCAAGATCTGGACTCATGGACCCCCGCGTCTACTCACCACCAGCTTTTTGACCAGAGCTTCTCTTTCAGTCACCATCTCTCTGAGCTCTGCGATCACATGCAGGTCTTCTGGTCGGCTTTCTCTGTTTCTTAACTTCTCCTCTGTGCCCTCCAACCTGGATGCACCCAGGAAACATTAAGAGTTAAATAAACAGGAACAAAGTGTGGCACCAGAGAGACAAAAGGAAGACAAAACAGAGACAACTTTGATCTATCTTGAAACAGTAGCAGCCCAAAAGAGCCACAGAAGAGGTTTCATCACACGGTTTTATGTCTTACAGTATTTGTAGAGCAGAAATCTTGTCTTTGAGGACCTCCTGGGCCTTGTTGAAGTCAGCCAGCATGATTTGTGTTTCTCTCTGATGGATTGCATTGAGCTCCCCCATCTCTCGCTCGTGTCTCTTTGCAAGGTCTTGTTCATGAGCTCTGCAGCAAAGACAGAAGTCATAAATGAATAAATCATTAGGCGAACTTTTCTGCTAGATGCATATTTCCTAAAGTGCCACCAAGTATCACAAGTTTACACTTAAATAATAATCACTTTGGGACTTTTCCTCTGCCTCTATACCAGTACATTTAATTTCCCGGAAGGGGGATCTGTGACATTGACATCGCATTTTTGTAAATTATAGAGGCCGACAGCAAGATGTGCAGCTGCAAAGTGAACTCTGCTGGGACACAAAGCACAGCTGGTACAGGGAGCATCCGGTCCCTCAGTGCTTACTGTGTCAATGTCAGAGTGTTAATTTATGTGTCTGCAATCTAAGTTAAAGAACGTAATGAAGAGTGTGCTTCATTTACATATGGGGACCATTAGAATTAAACTTCCTATAAGAAATGTGAAGAAGCAGAGCCAGGGTTACTGGCACAGGCTGCCAACGCTTGCACGAGTAGCGGACGAACATCCGTCTTTAATGGCTGTGGTTTTGCTTTCACATTTTCTTTTTAGCATCACTCACTCATTAAAGTAACTGTTTTTACAAGCTTAACACTGGACAGTAGCACTCAAACCACTAGAAAAGGGCATTTCAGCAATTCTTGAGGAATTTTAATTTAAAAAAAACTATCCTAATATAATTAGTGTTTTCTCACATTGGGGCAGACAAATATGACAGAAAGTCTGTGTTACGAACAACAAATTAAGCTTGAAAGACGCTGACATTTACCCTGTTGGAATACTTCATTAAAGCTGGAGAAGCAAACATAGTCACAGTGGTCTTTAGGTTATAAAAAAGAGCACGGGAGTCAAAATGCGGTAGGCAAAAGACTTTGTGGCGTTTTTCCACGCAAGAAAAATGAAACCAGTGCACGAGTGCCTTAACTTGCATTCTAGCCATCAGATGGCGACAGTGGTGGCTACAAAAAGACTGGATCCTACAGAAACCTATGGTTTGTGTGTTGACCTCTATAAACATTTTCCTGCTGAGTTTATGAGCCAATTTTGGATCTTATTAAATAAAAAATTAAGTCTGTTTTGTAAATCTTGATCATCCCATGTTCCAAAACGGAGGATTATCTGGGCTATGCTGATTGGCTAGCCACCTGTGACTGACAATGAGGGTATAATATGCAGACAGACCAAGCCCTGCTCCAAACCAAGATGGCAATTAAATACCATGAATGTCTTCATGGTAGCTACATCCATCTTTTATACTGCCTGTCGTAAAGCTGGAAGGCAACACTGATTCATTTTAAGTCAATACAAACTCTGCTGGCTTAGAACAGATAGGCTGGAGTTGTGGAAGCAGGCGTGTAAAACATGAAACTCTGAGCTGAGAGGTCCTTTACCCACTTTATCTAAAGCATGATGCTGATAACGCTGTGCTTGATTTAGAGCAAAACATGTTTAAAGTTCACCAGAAACTGATCAGAATACAGTATTAATATAAATAAATGCTTACACTGATAGATCTGGACATCTATAGACTTTGTTGTTTTACTGGGTATTATATAGCTATGGCTTCAATAAACAAAGTACTGGTGTTTTAACTGAAATGGTCAGACAGAGCTACACTGGAAAAAAATTTACATATGTGAAAATGAAATAAAAATATATTTTTAGACTGTGAAAAACACGTCTAATGTAAAGTGGCTTGAAAAAACTGCACTTATGAATAAACGTGACTTTTTTCAGTAAATCCTCAGAAAAAGACTAAAAATACAGACGCAAGTTTAACATGATTTCACAAATGTGATGTCATCTTTACTTAAAAGGCAGCTGTGAAATTCTAGTTTTATGCTGTGAATGCATATTTAAAATTGGATGGTTGATGCAAAAATTTCACAAATATTATTTACTTAAATACTCTTATATAAGCAAGAGTATTTAAGGGTAATGGGAGGATAATGTCTGCTGAGCTACTGAACCTTATCTGATGGTTAGCTTCGCTGCGGACCCGCAGCACCTCTTTGCCCTTCAGCTCCAGCTCTCTGGTTAGCGTGTCGATGGTCTCGTTCAGAGAGTGAATCTCATGGTCCAGATCGGTGATACGGTTGCTACGGGAACACAGCTCCGCTTGCAGGTCTGAGATACGAATTAAGAGATCTTGTTCCTAGAGGATGCACATAAGACAGAATAGGCAGTTATTTGCTAGAAGGCTTTTAAACCTTGAGATCACTTAGGGCGAAACACTGAGAGACAAGAACAAAAACAGAACTAAACCACTGTCAGTGTCACCTGCTTTTGGCTGTGCTCCATGGCTTTCTCTAGCTCTCGTTTGGTGGCAGCGTGTTCTTTGAGGTGGATTTGCTTCAGATGCTCGATGGCTGTCGCGTGGAGGTGGTTCAGTTCTGCACGAAGAGAGGCTGCAGGAAAGAGACGCCACAGGTAATGTGAGGGATCATTTCTTATGTAGTTTATGTAGAAAAATGACAACAGTGCGAAGAAATGAAAGATATTCTCATGTTTTGTGACTCCTTTCCTACATCGTACTTTCACGACTTATTCTTTTAGTTGGTTTAATATTGGAGGCAACTACTGAGATCAATTTTATCACCTAGCACATGTTCACAGATCTCAGAAAGCTGATTTCACCATTAGTTAATTTCATCCTGGTTTCCTAAAGCGTCTTACGATTTAACCACCAAATGTTTCTTTCTTCTCCTATTCTTCTAAACAGCAATAGGCAGATAATGAAGGTGATTTTGTTGTAATCACTATGAACAAAAACATCATCACAGCAGGCCGAAACAGAACCAGAACGTCTCAGTAGGTAGAAACACAATCACCAAAGGGTGGGGAAAAAATCATTGCTGCAATTTAAAACCACGCCACAGAGCGAGCCTGGCAGTGTGGAAACAACCCCGATCGATAACTACAAACCTAGACGTGTCAAAGCCACGTTTACTATATCTATCATCATTTACCCAGCTTTGCTTTCCCCTCGTCCTCCAATTCAAATCGCAGTGTCTGCAGCTCCTGGTCCGACTGCTGTCTGAGGATTTCTAAAGTCCTCCTGTGGGCCTCCTTCAAAGCGTGAACCTCCTCCCGCTGCTCCTGCTTTAGACGTTCCTCGAGGGCCTGGCAGACGGCACGGCGAGGGAGATTAAAGAGGATAGAGGGACGGAAAGGAAGGAGAAGAGAAAGGACGAAGATGACAAGACACAATATGTTACATGAAAAATATGGTTTTGAGAAAAGTGTAGTTTGGATGTCTGACTCAATATTTCCTTTTTATTTTTGGCTGAAAAATAAAAGTGAAATGTTGTAAAAAGAAAGCCAGAAGACAAAGGGAGAAAATGAACAGTGTAATCGAACCACAGCTCCAAGCTGGTTTTGAGTAACAGACTGGCACAGGAAAAGTGACAATATTAAGAACACACAAAGACTTTTGGAGACTGTCCCACTATGTACTGCATAAAAAAAGGAAGCTACTCAGCTTCAGGAAGCAGAACTGACAGCGAGATCCATCAACAGGCTGAAAATGACTAAAGAGTGTAAGTATAAAATCACTGAGCTTTTTGACACATCCTCTCAGTGCCACATAACGAAAAAAAAACTACCTCAACCATAATTTATATCGTTTGGCTCATTTTAATATTACTTAACAAGAAAATTGGTGAAATTAAAGTAAATGATCCAAATAAAATGGCTCAGAAAGCCGGGAATTTCCTCAGGGGTTTGATTGTGCTATGAATCTTCTGCACTTCTTGACTCTGTGGCAGACATAAAAGGATCATTAAACAATATTAGAAAAGCTCAAAAACTTTTTTACTTGGTCTCAAGTAGTTTTGTTGACCAGCACTCGCTGAACTTCACAATGGATACTCTGCTACACGTAATCATTGCTGTGCTGTGGACTATATTGGAAATTCAAATTGCAGCACCTTCCACACTATAATTTCCTCTCTGGAAGAAATAACGTCAGACACTAGAAGCTCCCAGGACGACAAATCAAGTTGTGTACCTCTTATAAAGCACTATTTTAAGGACTTTTGCTGATCACAGACTGCTACATACATAAAAAAAGTAGATAAGAACACAGGTGAAAAGAGAGGAACAGCAGCTGCAGATTTCTGTACTGAAAGTCACATTTTTACAGAACTATAAAAAGACACAGGATACAGCCAGAGGAGCACATGAACTAATTTGATGATTTAAAAGTAAAACGATAGGTCAACTCTTATTTTTGTCAGTCTTTTTCTTTCATTTTTTTTATAATGGTAATAGGCGTTTACTTGTGTATTACAAAGTTCACGGGAAGCGACATTGTGGATATATCAGCTACTGAAGCACAATTCTCTACTCTCCTGCCGATAGACAGCTAAAGGACACTTTAATTCTTTAATTTAAGTTTAGCAGCAAGTTTTTAGTTTGTTCTCCTCCCTAATGGAGGGAGTGTGTACTCTGTCTGTTTGTCCACAGTTTTCAAAACAGCATTTTCAGATTTTCTGTGATGGTGATACCGATAACAGCAACATATTAGGCCTTGGGGGACATGATTACATATGCTGGCTAAACATGAGCTTGACTGCTGTCCCTATGATGTTGCTATGATGTCACCATGATGACATAACGGGTTGACATCATCATGTTGTAATAAAACATCAGTGTTAATAAACCTGCCCTTTGATAGTTGCGCTCTCTGAGTGGTCTTGTTTTACGTGTTGTTTCACGCTCTTGTATTGATGGATTTAGTCAAAAACATTTCTTCAAGAAATCTCAGTCAACATTACTTCAACACAAGGTCACTGCTTACTCTGCTGTTCAAGCAGCTAAATCAACCTATAAGCAGAGCTAGCTTTGGACAGAATACCAATCATGGTTCACATGCAGTGCTAACCTTTTCATAGTTTTATTGCTGCAGTTGTCACATGTGCTTTGGATGACTTGAAGAAAATATATAAAATATATTTTCTGCTCAAATGTTGCCTTGTAGTCATTTTTAATCACATAGGTAAAAAATACTAGCTAATAGTACGGTACATCATCATCCTGTTTTTGAGTTAACTATCAAATCCATTCACCCACACCAGTCGCAGCAGATGGCTGCCCCTGCCTGAGCTTGGTTCTGCTGGGGGTTTCTTCCTGTTAAAAGGGAGTTTTTCCTTCCCACTTTTGCCTCTTCTTCAAAGGGAGTGCTTCTTCAAAGGGAGTTGTTTGATTGTTGAGGTTTTCTCTGTATTATTTTCTTTATCTTACAATATAAAGTGCCTTGAAGTGACTTGTGCTGGTCTATATAAATAAGACTGAGTTAAACTGAACATTTATTGATGCCAGACTCGGCTGAGGTGACAGATCAAACCAAATTTTATAAAAAATCGTCACCCTGAAATCTCTGCAACACCAAACTCCAGCCTAGCCATACAGGATCCACCAACATACAGTGTTCTAGAGTCACGTTAATACTACAGTACAAAGCAACAGTAAATCTCTCAAATGCTGCATTCAGTAGTCAAAGGTTTGCTGCTTAAATCATATTTAAAATCACAGATTTTATTAATTTAGTTAGGCATTTTTGCTACTAGAATTACTGCAGCACATTATTGCTTCAGTCACAGCACTTGTTAGTGAACGATGGTAGCATTTAGCAGCTGTTGTTGCTGCACTAGTGAGGCTGTTGAAACTGTCCTCGTCGCACTTTTACTGTGTGTACAAACAGATGAGTTCAAAGAAGACTGCAGTGAAGTCCACAGTGGAACAAGAAAGGCTACTGTAATGTATTTAGTAAAAGCCCCCGAGAAGTTAGTTAGAACTTGCTCTACTTTTCTTTTCAGAGAGAACAAAAGGCAGGTAGTGTCGTGCAACTATGTGACAAATCCCAAGACAACCGATGCAAACCTACATGCTTGCAAATATGTGTGTGTGTGTGTCGTACTCTTATCTGGTGCTGCCTGGCTTCCTCCATGGTGCTGAGGGCACAGCAGTGAGCCTCCTGTAATCGATGCTCTCTCCTCTGATGTTCTCTCTGCATCTCTGCAAACACAGAGATATCAACGTGTACACTGAGATGCATCAACAGCAGACGTGTTTCCATTCTGTTTGACACGATAAGGCAATATGACAATCTGAGCCAGTCGCACAGCGGCAGGAGATGCGCCGCTGAACAGAAGGTGACAACAAAATATTTACACACTCGATGCTCGGACTATTTGTATTAAATATTTAGGTTACATTTCAGATTTTTATTTATTCTTCACAACAAAATAAAAAATCGGTTTCAGCAGTGGTACAGTGCAATGCAGCATGATTTGTCTCGACATGCTGACGATCTCATGCTAGTGAACATCCTGGGCTGTGAATTCAGTTATTTCCCTCATGGATGTTTTGAAGCAGTGATTCCCAAAAGTTTTTAAGGGAGCAGTGGCCCCCTTCATGGCTGCTTGGCTGCAATAATAACAGAAATTCAACTTGAAATTAGTAGTATGCACAGTTACATATTTATATCAATGTAGTTATATAAATATGGAATTAAAACAGGAAATAGGAGGTGGTATTACTTTATTTTGACCTAAATTTACTTCCCCTGTATTAAAGTTTATGTCCCAGTTAGCCTTACCACTTTGCATATGACTAGGTAGCATTAGCAATTTATAGCCAACATCCTCCTGTGTGGTTTATTTATTTTTAAGACATTTTTCGAGGAATACATCACATTCTCATGGATTCTGATTAGAGTGAAGATTTAAGATTGGGTGGCCCCAATGGATCTTCAGGTTTTTAAGTGGGCTGCAGCACTCTTGACTTTGGGAATGGCTGATTTAGAGGCACGCAGGTTTCCCCTGATAAAACTTGTCAGACTGCAACTCGTCATCTAACAGCTCAAACTGGCTGTTACAGCTCCAACCTTCCTTCTCTTTCAAATTCCCATAATCAAAAAATAAAAAATCTCTTGTTTTAAAGTTTTTAAGTTTTTAAGTTTTTAAGTTAAAATCACATACAAATGCAAAATCGCTACTTTAAGAAAGTTATTTTAGGATGAAATGTTGAAACTCCAGCGGCAGCTTGTAGCCGCAGTCGCCACGTGGAGGAAGCGCGTGCATACCTTTGAGCTGTTGGCTCAGGAGCTCTCTCTCCTGGTTGAACTGAGACTGCAGCTGTTGGAGAGCTGACTGAGACTGAGACAGCTGCAGCTCCAGGGACTGTTTCAGCAGAGAGATCTGAGGAAAAAGGGACGTAAAGGGGGAAGTAGTAAAAATATGGTGTTTAGGTGTTTATAATGAGCAAAGGCTTATTCAAAAAAAAAAAAGAAAAAAGTAACAAGACAGAACAAATTAGATTAAAAGCAAATGTTAACAGGTCAGCGTGCCCACATCCGATAGAAGCAGTAATTACAGGCTGAACTGCAGGGACAACACTGTGTCTCTCTCCAGGTGGTTCTCTATCTCCAACTGTGCGGCGACATCACATTTAATTTACAAGGAAGACATACCTCCAGGAAAGAAGCAACTCACTTAACAGAGCACACACATTTAATTAAAAAACTCTCTCTTTTGCTCCACTATATTTTTTCCAATGCATCGCTCTTAACCAGGGAGAGAGCCTAGGTTTTTCCCCCTTTTTCTAACAACCACTCCCTGGTGGTGATATTGACACACAGATGTAATAAAACCACTTCAGGGCTGCGGATGAAGATTTCTCCACTCGTGTCAATGAGCTGACAGCCCGTCACGACGACGAGTGACAGCGCGCACGGCCCAATAACAAAAGCCAACAAGCGTAAGCCCCATCAGAGCACGCCAAAGTGTTTTGTTTCGAGGAGATACTGCAGCTATCAGAGGCCTAACTGCCGGTGAGTGGCAGAACTCTCTCAGCCAGACGCCTCCAGCCCTTCACATGCCACTCTTTCTCTGAGCCGCTGCAGTTAAATCCCCCGCAGGGTTTAGTGCTGAAGAAGTACCACATTAGCAAGTGTAAGGTAAGATGGATTTAAAAATGAGAGGATGAGGAGCAGGGCTGGGATGAAGTTTCTGAGGTTCTACATCGGATAAAAAAAGATGGCCTGCACAGTTTATCCTCTCTGTCTACTCCAACTAATCATTTTTACATTTACAGCAAAATAATGGGATGTGTGAGATTAGCAATGTGGAAATACCTTAAGCGACCTTGTTTGCAAAAACATGCACCCAGCCCTCTGTGACTTAATTAAACACAATCCCAAGCGCACAAGTTTTGGCTCGCACAAACTGGAGCCTCGGGCTCGGACCTGGTAATGAAAATATCTTAATGAAAAAGAAGTCATTATAGATAACGACGGCACATCCGCCCAGGCGCACAATACCGCACGGGACCTGCGCTCACTTAAGGGCTTTCAGGAATGTCTTTTTCTACTTTAACAGCACATGTAGCTGCCACGTCCATCAAACATGAGAGGCTAAGGCAGCAAAGGCATAAATGGCTTCACTGAAACAGGTTAATCAAAAATTCAGGACATCAGGGGTGATTTTTAACTACATCTGCTAGTGTGTCTGCACAAAACAGTCAAAAGGGAAATCATTCAATTTTTTCATCCTGTTGAGTCTTGGCAATTCTTTAAAGTTAGTGAGTAAAATTATTCAGCGCCAGATGTCAGTAGATTGCAGATTTTGCAGGCAACTGGGGTCTGTTTTTGTACCCTCACAATTCAAGCGCATAATCCTAGTTACTGTGGCTGCTGTAGGATAGCCACTGTAGCTTTTTTATGTTGTCACAATATATCATATTTGCTTCTTTTTATATCTTGCTTGTTCATTAACTAACTTGTAAAGACTTTGGATACTTTGTTGTTTTTAACTTTAGAATAGAAATAACACTGACACTGGCAATGAAACATGCCAAGAGAGATCAAAAACATTCAATTGAGACTGAATGCTATAAGAGATGCAGCCGGCCGGCATGTCTTTGCTCCTGTGGAAGGCTGTCAGTCCACTGTTTACCTCAGCTGTCAAAGCCGGGTGAGAAGCATCTATCTTTATTTACTCTGGAAGAGGCTATAAAACTTTGTGAAAGGAGTCCAATATGGAGTCAAAAAAGCTCAGTTGTGAATAATGACAGCAATACTGAGGTCCTTTTTGCAACTGTTAGCTGTTAGCCTCTGTTAGCAACTGTTGAAACTGTCTTTGTAATGGTTGCAACTTTTAAGGACTCAGGAACGTCATGACTGAACGCTGATACGATGTGAGAATGTAATCAAACTCTTTATCAGAGGGAAAGTGTGATTTTTAGGACACTTGAGCCAAACATTACATATGTAACGTTAGCCCAGGGGCGGGAAATTCCAGGCCCCGAGGGCCGGTGTCCTGCAGGTTTTAGATCTCACCTTGGGTCAACACACCTGAATCACATGATTAGTTCGTTACCAGGCCTCTGGAGAACTTCAGGACATGTTGAAGAGCTAATTTAGCCATTTAAATCAGCTGTGTTGGTTCAAGGACACATCTAAAACCTGCAGGGACACCGGCCCTCGAGGCCTGGAGTTGCCCACCCCTGCGTTAGCTTGTAACTAGCTGTTGTTGTTTAGCCATAACAGTTGTCAGCTGTCTGGAGATGGGCCAGTTGCTTGTCTAATCTGCAGACAATAAGTGATTGTGGCAGACTGGTATGGAAAGAACAAATGCATTAACCATGTTTTATTAGTCTGTTTACTCTGATGTAGCAGAAGAAAAGTAAATGCTTAAAATTAATGGCTGTACCTTTAAATCACAATTGATTTTCTGAAAAAATGGGAAACATTTTGATTGGATTTGGTATGCATCTTCATTTCCAGTTAATAAACAAAACTACCCTATCAATCACAGGGGTTTTCCTGGAAAAACAAACCCTTACTTTTAGACTAATTGTGCTGACAGTTGTAGCTGCCCCTCAAGACCCTCTCCTAGCCAGGAAAGGCCCTGCATCTACTTAAATTTAGATCTGTATTGAAATTTATTAAAATAATAAATTCAGCAATATGGCAGTTGTCCCACCATTAAATCCATCACACAGCAACCAAGAACAGAGTCCCACCATGCTCACTGCTCTGCTGTTCTGAGCAAACTGAGCATCTGGCAGGCTGGAGGGTCGGCGTATGAAGTATTAACACTGATCAAAAGAAATGCCGAAGAGCAGTAGTTGCTACTGGAATTACTTTTTGACTGAAAGAGAAATTGTACACACCATGAGGGTGGAATGTTGATGCAATTATGGGATTGGTGTTGTCTGAATGCACAATAACTTGAATTTGTAAGGATGATACAGAAGAGGTGCAGAGACACAGAGAAGCACTGACAGCCTTAAAACCACACCAGGAAAGTAACAATCTAATATAATATCCCCTTCTCTGATAAATAAAGCGGAGAATTTATTATTCTTAGCGTTATTAATGGGTAATCGACCAATATACATCCATCATATTTCCGTTATCACTCTGACAGATGCTAGTTGTAATCATGGCTTATGTGTGAACAGTTTGAGATTTGTCCTTAAAATGCAACGTGATGTGTTATATCTGAGGGGACTGCGAGTTTCTCTTTGCATTGTGACTGATGAGTCTCTGAGCCCCCGGTAGGGCTGGTGTTTCTGCAGAGCTGTAAGTAGGTCAATACCGTGCAGATCACTGTAATAATACTTTCGTGCTTTTGTCTTCATAGTGGCCCAGCTTGCATGTCTGCTGTTTTTTCTAGTTAATCTTTGTGCAAGACTATGATTGAAAGTATTACGGGGATAAGCTAAAATATTCCTAACTGGGCTTTCAAATTAAATTTAAATATTTTGGGTTGAAAAGGATCTTTTAAGCATGAATTAAACTACTTGGGAATGTTTTTTTCAGGTGATGTTCATGTAGCCTTTGAAAGCATGGTCTTGGATTTTGAAAATTATGCTTATCTGCACTTCACTTTAATGCTGTACTGGTGCCCCCGGCCATATCAAACTCAGAGCAATTCAATTCCAGAAGTTCTCTGGGTGAAATCCTCTACCTCTGGTTGGTGGCCAATACCATCTACCAGAGGTCCGAGGAGAATGGCCAAACTGCTTTAAACTGACAGGGAGGCAACCACTTATAGTAAATAATCACTTGTAACAAGTGAGTCTGCAGAAGAGCATCTCTACATGCAAATGTTAAAGCAGAAGACCACACTGGATGCCGCTCCTGCCAGCTAATAACAGGAAACTGAGGTTATAATTCTCCAGAATTGGACAACAGAAGATTAGAAAACACTGCCTGCTTTGATAAATCTTGACTCCTGCTGCAACATTTAGATGGTAGGGTGTGAAACCGGTGTGTACAACATGAAAGCAGGGATCCATCCTGCCTTGTATCAATGATTTATGACGCTCGTGGTGCAATGGAGTAGAGAATATTTTCTTTACAGACTGTGGACTCGTCAGTACCAGGTAGGCATCATTTAATTGCCACAGCCTACGTGCGTATTTACCCAAAGCTCAAATCATCTCAAACTGTTTTTTTGGACATTCAGTTCACTGAACCCAAATGGGCTCCACAATCACCAGATCCCAATCTAATAGAGCACCTTTGTGATGAGGAACTCTGTGATGCTGTCGTGTGAATATGGACAAAAATCTCTGAAGAATTTATCCAGCACTTTGTTGAAATTATGCCGCGAGGAATGAATGCAGATCTGAAATCAAAAGAGGTACTAGCAAAGCACATTTAAAGAGATTCCGGTAAGTGTATATACACTTAATAATATCCGTGGATTACAGTATTACATATACACACATTAGCCATCTTTTCTGTTGCTCCTAAACCAACCCCCCCCACACACACACCCACACACACACACAGCCCTGTGAGGGCAAAAAAAGACGCACATGCAGAGGCTCACATATAGTACACATACAGTGTAAGCTCCTTAGATATCTGATCTGTGATATTGTTTGAAGTTTATTTTTAGCCACTCGGCACTATAACTTTAAAATGCTCCTTTTTATACTGTGACCCACATTTACATGATTCCTAATCTGGCATCTATAATCTGCAGATGCTGCAGATAAGAAATGATGCTCCCTAAAGAGCCCACTATGAAATTCCATCTTAATTATTACAGCCACATCAATGAGGACTGCTTCCTTTCATCTTAAAATGATACCATATCTATAGCTGAAACAAATAGGTAGCAATCATTTATTTGGATATTTGGTGATTCTTTTGAAAACTGCCACCTTAGCTTGCACATTTTTT